AAAAAATGAATTCGTGTGTCACCTCTGACATGCATGTCATAGGTTCGCCATCACTGCACTAGAGCAATGGTGTCCACATTCACCCCTTTGATTAGAAGTTATAGTGATGGGATGTTACATTATCCCATGTATGGGGATGGGGGTTCTTATCCAAGGGTTAATTGAAACTGCATTGACCAAACAGCAAATAAGTCTTCTCCTAGACACTGTAGAGCATGAAAGTCAATGAATGTCAGCCAATTTTGAAGAAAAGAGTTTAAATAAAGGAAAGGGGGAGTTGTGAGAGAAAACAAATCACCTTTCCTGCCAAACAACAGTTTAGACAGCCACCATTTTGTACTGCATGACTTGGCAGCCACCATGTTGGCCGCTGGCTTGCTGCACCCCTGGAAGCCGCCATCTTGAAACAGCAAAAGCCAACCACTCCCTTTGAACTAGCCAATCAGGAAAGACTGTGCGCCTGAGCTCCAATTAAGAGTAGGGACAGGTCATGTATGTCAGAGACTATAAAGCCAAACAGATCACCTGCTTGGTGTGCACGTGCTTGGCTCCCGAGTATATTTTGTGTTCTATCAGGACCCCTGGATTGGGGGGCTCGCCTTATTTCTTACAGCTACTTTAGCTTTTTCTTGTCTGTGAAGCTCTTTATCTGTCCTTCAATTCTAAATGACAGCTTTGCTGGGTAGAGTAAGTTCTGAATCATTTTGAGTATTTCTTGCCACTGCTTGCTGTTGAGAAATCAGCTGACAGTCTTATGGAAGCTCCCTTGTAGGTAACACTGCTTTTCTCTTGCTGCTTTAAAGATACTCTCTTGCCAAAACTGGTTTGGCTCAGTGGATAGAGCAGATAGATAGATAGATAGATAGATACTCTCTTTGTCTTTAACCTTTAGCATTTTAATTATGTGTCTTGGTGTAGGCCTCTTTGGGTTCATCTTGTTTGGGACTCTCTCCTAGACTTGTATGACTATTTCCTTCAGCAAGTTAGGAAAGTTTTCTGTCATCATTTTTTATATTCCTTGATCTCTCTCTTCTCTTTCTGGCACTCCCATGATTTGAACATTGGTACACTTGAAGTTGTCCCAAGCCTCCATATACTATCCTCATTTAGTGGATTCCCTTTTATTTTTGATGTTCTAATTGGCTGTTTTCTGTTTCCTTATCTTCCAAATCTCTAATTTGATCCTATGCTTAATCCACTCTGTTGTTGATTTCCTGTAATGTACTCTTCATCTCAGCCAGTGCATTTTTCATTTCTGACTGCTTCTTTTTCATGTTTTCTATCTTTGTTGAAGTTCTCATTAAATCCATCTATTCTTCCCCTAAATTCATTGAGCATCCTTATAACCAGTGTTTTGAACTCTGAATTTCATAAACTGCTGTCTCTATTATTAGTTCTTTTTCTGGAATTTTGTTATGCTTTTTCATTTGGGACATATATATTTGTCTCCTCATTTTGCCTGCCTACTTGTGTTTCCTTCTATGTACTAGCTATATTACCTGGGGTTGGTAGAGTCACCTTATGTAGCAGGTGTTCTGCAGGGTCCAGTGGCAGAGCCTCCCTGATCACCCCAGTCTGGCACTCCAGATGTGCCCTCTGTGTGGCTGTGTACACCCTCTTGTTGTAGTTGAGCCTTGATTGCTGTTCATACATAGTGGGAAGGATTTGTCCCCAAACTTATCAGTTGCAAAGATTCTCTGCTCCTCCTACCAGGCTCAATGTGGCTTCTTCTTTATATCTTTAGTTGCAGGACTTATATTCTGCTAGATTTCAAATTGTTGTAAATGATGGTTTTCTTTTAGTTTAGTTATAATTTTGATATAATTGTGGGAGGGTTCAAGTACCATGTTTACTTATGTCACCATCTTGATTGGAATCCCACAGTTGCATATTTTATATTTTCTTTTTTAATTTGAAGTTTCCTGTTTACCTTAGTTACATATGAGTGTCAGGTTTTTGTAGTTTTTTTTCACACACAGAACTCCTGTACTTTTTGAATCTGAGGGTGCATGGTATCAAGTTAGCAACTTTCTGTCATTTATCTCTTTGAATAGCATCTCAGTGCATTCTCTTTCACTGTAGCTCCTCTTTGACATATGGAAGAGTAATTTTTTCTTCTATCTCCCTTCAGTTTTATTTTGTCCCTTCAAATTTATAATGCTTTCCTCACCTATTTATTTTCCAAATATGGATAATCCAGTTCTCTTCACCTGTATCTAGTTTGCAGCTCAATCTTCCCAATGAGGTTTTATTAATGACTATTTTTCATTTTCAGAGGTTCTATTTGGTTTATCTTCAAATACTCCTGTCCTTTATTGTTGGTATCATTCTTCCTTTTTTTGTTTAGTCTCTTTACTGTTTAACTGTTTTTGTATGCTTGCAAGCTATTCTATTACATGCAGTTTGTTCTTGGTTCCTAGGGAATTATGCAATTTTTAAATATGTTAATGTAAAGATAGATTCCCCCTCCTCTGTAAGAATAGCAGGTTTCCTTGGTGATTAATCTCCTTCTAGTGTGCTTTCCCATTTGATCCTGCCACTCAGGATCTATTTCTATGTATTAAGACTCTTAAACATACCATAATAATGGTGTGGATTCAGATTTCAAATTCATAAAGGGGCCTGGATTGGGATATCAGTTTAATGTGTACATGTTTTTCCCTTACCAAGTCTTGGAAGGAGACAGATTCCCTTATCATCTCTACAAGATGTAGATGAGAATCTATTGTCTTCTCCACACAATTGGGATAATCTTTTCATGGCTTAAACTACTATGTGTATGCTGAAAACACTCCAATATTTTTCTTTACATACCTAAAACTCAATGTGACTCAATAAAAATCAGTAGCTTGAAGGAGAAACTCAACTGTTTCTCCTTCAAGATTCTTATCATTGCCAAACACATTATTTCAGCATCTTAATTCTCAGACATAGATTCATCTCCAGATGCTTTTTCATTCTCAATTGACATCAAATTCATGAGGCAGTTCCATTCAATATATTTATAAAATATCACTGAGTTATTTCTTCCTATGGAACAACCCCTGCTGTGTTCAGGCTTTTATCTCTTTTCTACCCCAAGTTTTCATAACCACTGACACCATGATGTAGTCCATTTTCCTTTGTGGTCCCTCATACTCAAAATTCCTAATTTAAGTGTCAAGGGTAGGATAGAGAGGGGACTGGTTGAAAGAAGGTGAATGGCTTAGCCAAAGAACATGCATGTATAACCCATAAATACAGACAACAGTGTGGTGGTGGCCAGAGGGTAGGGGACTGAGTGGAGGTGGGCAAAGGAGGGGAAAATGAGGACATCTGTAATAGTGTCAACAATAAAAAAATAAAGTTAAAAAAGAAAACAAAAATAGAGTCTATTTTGTTTGATATAAAAAAAGAAATTGACTCAACTGATCATTTCTCAAATCTCTGAAAGATGGTACCTAGTTCACATCATTCTAGATGCATAGAAGTTAATTTATTACATATAATAAATGCTCTAAGGATTCTATTGCAAATGCATGCTGGATGCAATCTAAATTCCTTAGCATTAACTATAATAATTTCACTTTTTTTTTTAGTTTCACCAATTTCTCCAAAATAAATACATGACAGCTAAACATCCATTAATATTGTTCCCCAAAAGAGTAATTATCTTTCCATTCCTCTGGATCTTTGATACGTATGCCATATCCTACATAAGGAATGATTATTTTACATACATCTATATAAAGTTCTTACACATACATATTACATACACACAAACGTAAACATTATACATATTCCACATAGGGGATGGGAAGAGATTCCTCAGAGAATTTATATGCATGTATGCCTAACCCATGGACACAAACAAAAGTGCAGTGAAGGCCTGGTGGGTGGGTGCAGGGCGAAGGGGGCAGTGGGGAAAAAAGGGGACATCTGTGATACTTCCAATAATAAAGATACATTTTTAAAAAGAGCCTTTACATTGTGTGTGTCTTCTTAGAATTGTCGATTAGACAGAAATGAGCCTGTTAAATCCATGGAGGAAATAATTAATATTTACATAACCAGGGTCTAACAGAAGAATTGAAAAATCACATAGCTGGGGAAGTCAGCCAAGAAATATAAAAAATGAAGGAATATTGGGAAGCCTGTGGAAGTTGGGAAAGTGGCAGAGTTCTCACATCTTATTATAAGGGGGCATCCATGCTCAGTTAGTTGTAGGATATTTTTGGCCCTTCTGTGAAAATGGGAACCCAGTTTAACAGATTTTTATGATTTTCCAAGAGAATCATGTCAAGATTAGCTCATAAAATTTCCTGATTTTTAAATATTTGCTACTAAATAATTTGGACTTAAGGCTAGACCATCTGTTGGAAAACTGCTGTGATGAAATTGCTCCATGTAATAAGTATACAGATATATTGTGGTTTCTAACAATCAAATTTAATACAAAGGTAAAGGAGAGAACACAGAGAAGCATAACTGGGTAGCACATCTTACACTATATTTCTGAAAACTCTCTTTGCATAATTGGGCTTTTTGTAGGAACTCAAAGATGTCAGACCTTCTGAAGAGGGCCAAGAGCACTGGCTGCCTGTGTTTCAGACTAAGGAAGGATCATTAAGGCTTTGTCAGTCAGACAAAGGTTAGATGACATTCTATTCAAAATGGGTAATGTATAGGACCTCTATACAGAAACCACCACATTGAAATATTAGTTGTTTTGTTTATATTTATTTGAGTGCAGGGCTCCACTTTTCTTTTTTCAACTTAGCATAATCAATACTGAAGCTCAATGAGATTAATAACTTCCTTTCTGACCAAAGTTAAATATATGATCACATTGTCTCCCACTTGAGAATTAGGATACACATTTTTAAAAATTGTAACTTCCCACAAAATTATATTTTCCC